GATGATAACTTCAAATTTCATCTTAAAACTGCAAGTTTTTGCCAAAATATATTTTAAAGCCGAAAAACAACCAGACTTGATGTAAGGCCATTTCCAGTACAATAAGGTGTCTTCTTCTAAGGCGTCTTCTTATGTCTGTGTATGTAAACTACAGATATTGTACCCTCTGGAAAACTATTATAAATCTAGTTGTTCATTAAATTTGTCTAAAAAAAAAATATAAGATATTTATTAGTGCGCAACATTTGAAGATATGTAATATGCCATTCCTACTGTCTGCCTGTAAAAAAAAAAAACCAAAAAAAAAAAAACCAAAAACGTTCACCCAAATGTATGTCATGACAAAACCTCTGCTACAACAGCTTGGAGAAAGAGAAGATCTTGGCAGAACAGGTTGTTTCTTAACACTTTGTCACATCCATGGGCTGATGCTGATGTTTCACATGCTGAGCAGCGCTGCTGCACTATAACATGTAGCTGTGACACAAGCTTGTATGAAGTATTGTATGTAAGCTCCAGAACAGAGCCCTGTGTATTGAAAATTAAAAGAACCGACTTTCGAACATGAAGGCCATTAATTGTTTTCAGAGGCATCTGTTCCCTATGAAGGACCGATGTTAACTCTTGTTATGAATGTGTTTACGTATGTCTTTTACTCATATGCCCCTATGTATGCTTATCTTGGGGAAACAGCCCAACCAACTGATAGACCTCATAATTTCCTCCAAACATCAGTTGGCCAAAGATATGTGATTTGGTTCCTTCAATAAACCCCAACTCTAGGGTGGCTTTACATAGTTTTTATTGCTGGCTAACCACGCCAAACTATAGACATCTATTTAAAACTGGCCATAGATGGGTAAAATTTCGAATGAGTATTCTTAGGAAAGGAATGTTCTAAGAAACTTGTTTTTCTAATCATTAGTAGATCAAATCAATGTTCGTTTTCAGCCAAAGTGATGAGAAAACGTGAAGTAGGATGGAACATTTTTTCTTGAACTAATTTTTTTTTTTCTTTTTAAAAATACTTTATTTTTGTTACAACACATGGTAACCGTACAGAGACCAAGAAAGAATATCCACATCTCTACAATTACTGTGTACACTTTTGTTCTTCTATACATGGGTCTGTTTTGTACATTGTCATTCATTACCCACTATCTTGGAGAGAGATCAGAATATCTAGGTCCAATTCTGGAGAGATAGTGGACATTGGCTAGAGTATCTTAAGGGTCCTGATCAGGGGCTGACTGACAACTCATGGGGCCCCCAGGCAATAGGGGATCATGGGGCCCCTGTGTCTTTGCCCAAACTCAAAAAAGGTACCAGGGGCATCTCATGGCGCCCCCTACTGACTCCGGCCCTCAGGCAATGCCCGAGTTTCCAAATGGTCAGTCCGCCCCTGGTCCTGATAAGAGTCTCTGCACCCCGTGTTGTATTTTACCTTATAAACGTCAGAAGAAAAGGGGGGGGGGGGACAAAGGGGGAGAAAGAGGGGAGTGAGGAGAAAAGGGAGATCCATTCACTGCCTCCCCCTCTCCAGCTACTTCAGGTCAGCAATGCCAACTCCTGAGTTCAACTATCTCAGCAGAGTAATATCCTCTTCCGAGTTGAGAAAGTCATGCCAATAATACCATTTCTTAAGACATTTTTCATGTAGGCCTCTTTCCGTGGCGATCAGGTCTTCCATCTCATTGATGTCTGTGACTTTGCGCAGTCAGACAGATTGCACTAATTTCTAACTGTGTATGTGGTTTTCATTCAATAAGTTCAATTTATTCCAAAATCAAATGTTAAAAGCAAACAAAATCTCTCAAATGACATTTCGAGTGGTCTAAGAATTTTTGTATAAATTTTCTTAAGATGTTTCCTAAGAATTTTCTTTCGAAACTCTAGCCATCTTTTGCCAGCCTAAACCTTGTTGCTTTCAGCTAGCTCGGTCAACAATCTTATGTCTGTGAATCCAACAGATGCTACAAGCTTACTGATCTTGGGGAGGAGAAGTCGAGTGGACATATTAAGACTTCTCCAGTAAGTGGTGTTTTTTGTTTTTTTTTTTGTTTTGTTTTAGTTGTTTTTCTGAGATGTGCAGTACTTGGTGCATCTGGCTGTTTTCTTCCTTTCTGCTTTATAGGCTAAAACATGGATACCGGGGTGACCCTCCTCTGAATTTTGTGACCGCTTACCGAAAGATGAATTCTGATTGGTTGCTATGGGTTATTGCGTAAGCCTGAAAGTGATGTCAATTTATTTGACATGCATGGGTATATCTGCTCACATGTTCTAAACTAGAGTACACATTATATCGAAAGTGCTTCTTAGTTACAGTCCAGGGTTACTTTGTGTCAAATTGCTTTTCGTGCACTATTTAATTTGCAAACTTGGAATAATATAATTTCCTTCTAATTATCTTGAAGTTAAAGACTCTTTTAATACTGTTGTGGTTGATATACATAATTATATTTTTATTACATTATAGAACATGGCCTGGAGCCAGCCATCTCGTGTTCAGTTTGGTTACTACTGTACTTTACGCTCATTAAATATAGCAAATGCTAAACTTAGTGACAAGCTAAAGTCTTTGATATAAAACATGAAAAACGTACCGGCTTGCTGAATTGAGGCAGAATTTACATTTCTCTCATATTATTAAGGTTAGGACTGTGGGCTGTTTTCAAAGTTGTTATTTGGCCGCTAAATATTTTCTGCCCTATAAATAAGTACTGGTCTTTCTCGTTCATTTTTTGGAAGTAGTTGAAAGCAGAAGAGTTAGCCTAGATTCAGATCGGAACATAGAAGGGAAAATTAACCATGTGGCAGCTTTTAACAGATGCATAGCTTTTTGTTTCTTTTTTTTTTTTCTGTTAAACATATGGAGGAGCAAGAGAACATTTTTTTTTTTTCCAGAAAAGTTAGATATGTTCATTTTAATTAATCTAAAATATTATCACAAGATCCTCCTGTAGGGTCTAGAAAATAATAGCATATGATACTTGAGATTATTCCCTCTGTATAGATGACTGTTGATAGACACTGTTTCCATACAATAGAAGTTTGGTAACTGAATCTTCTAATTTAAAGGGGATTAAACATGTTTACAGCTGCCCATTCATCCAAAGATCTGGATACTAATTTTGGACTTGATCTTGGTCTGCCCAGTTAAAAAAAAAAAAAAAAGAAAGAAAAAAAAAGTGCCCTAGAATTGTATAGTACTATTTTTTTTATTTTGTCCTTCAATATCATACTGATCTTCAAAATCATGCGCGTGATAATGCAAATGTGTTTTTTATAATGACCATATACACAGGTATATGAGGTCATTGTATAACTGATGGTGTATAATTTTTATAGTCAAGTGAAAAATTATGTAAAGACAGTGGAAATGGTTTCTTTGATTTTTCAACATATTGAGCAAGCAAACATTCAATCTTCACTCAAAGTGTCTGCTCATAAAAGAATGAACATAAAGAAAATTTTAACTATTCAACAAAATATCAGGTAACAGATGTAATGATGTTCTGTGGCTAAAGTAAGTACACCCGTGACCTCAGAAGCTGGTATTAAGCCATTTAGCAAAAATGACTTCTTGTCGTTATATTGCCTAATTGCCTACCAGTCTTTCAATATCCAATTTTCGGCCACTTCAAGCTAAAAGTTCCTTCACTTGCAAGATGTTTGTTGGGTTCCTTGCATGAACTGCCATTTTACAGCCAAACTTGTCTACTGTTACTCTGGCCAAACCACTATCTTTGTGGGAGTCTGCAGCACATTGTTCTAGACCTTCTAGTGGGAAATGGTAGTCTGGCTCCATTGTACTTGTGGACAGCAAAGGCTTTTTTCCACATTTATGCGTCCTATGTAAGTTTAATTGGTGCAGTCTCCTGATTGTAGAAGCATGTAGATGATTGTAGATGCATACACGTTCACGCTGTTTCAGGAGTTAATGAAATTTTGGGGTTATTGAAGACTTCTTTTAAACATCAAGCAGTCAGCTCTTGGCCTGAATTTCTAAGCTGGCCAGTCCTAGACAACCTAGAAATTGTTTGAAATCTAAGACATTTGTAAATTATTGTCCTTTTATTTTCCTTACAGTAGAATGATTGATATAAAAAATTGTGTCAGTCTATTTAAATCCCTTGCCAGACTCCTAGGTAACCTTCTTTCTGAGGGCCTCAAAGAGTCCATAGATTCGCATGATTACACCACACAAATCCATAGCAATGTGAAGATGAGACACTTGATATCTGAGGTTTAAATAATGTAGGTTCCACCTGTGTAATTTGTTTAAGTATATCACCTTTATCTGTTGGCACTGTTTGGATGGCGACCTAATATATGCCTGTTCAGATATGTTAGAAATTGTCAATTTCCATGCGGTATATTTATCTTTTAACATGAATGCATGTGTATGGCTTTGCTGTCAGGTAATCGTATGGCATTGGAGTTTCTTAAAGACCTGTAAATATAAAACGCAAATGGTCTTTCAACCACAATGAGTTGCTCTGTGTTGTGAATGATTTTAGACGAAGCAGGTTACTGTTAATAGTGGCTCTGTAATTGTGATAAGAGAGTATGGTTTATTCCCCCCTCCCTGCTTTATCACAGTTCTCTTTATTGCTAAAATGTTTATGAATGTTTAACTATAAATGATGTCAATGGTAACATCTTGCATAACCCAGTCTGTGATTTGGTTATGCAGCATTTATCTCATGCATGGCTAGTAAAGCTAGCACAGTTTCTCTTTCCCATGATGATTTGTTTTTCTCAGTGTTTCCTGGAAGTTCCATCGAGTGACGTTTTTCATATTCTTAACGATCTTAATGAAACTGACACACTGCATCACAGGAGGTTTGTGCAAGGCACGGACATGAATGAATTAAGAGAAGTTTAGAAGATCTTCCATTCTGCAATACATATGTTTAGCGAACTGCAATTATTTTTGTTTTCTGCTTGATACTAGCTCCTCATTAGTTTCCGTATATTTAAACATCGTGTTTTTTGTTTTGCAGTGAAGGTGTTTTTAAATGTCCAGAAGATCAGCTTCCGCTAGACTACGCAAAGGTAAGACACAATTTGTTTTCCTTTTTAACCAAAACTGTTGAACAACTCTTGATGTGGATAGCCCAAGGTTTTTTGAACAAATACAAACTTTGGCTATAAAGGAGCAAAATATTTCTATATAAACAATGGAAGGGGAGATATTTTTCCTGCCCTCACTCAATTGGGAGCAACAGGAACCAATAATAATCCTCGCACAGTGCTGTCTGCAGTGCATACGTGGTACTTTGTATCCAGCCCTGACCCCTAACTCTTCTGTGAAGAGGTCTGACACAAGCTGCAGTATTTCTCCATGTGATAACCAGCTTCTCCCACTGCCTGAAGTGCTGGCTATCACTCTCCTTCTAAGGCTCCATGCACACTGGGCGTTTTTAATAACACTGGTGATGTTAGCTTTGTAAAAAAAAATTTGTGTTTTTCAGTGTTTTGTAGTGTTTATGTATTAGCGTTTAGCCGTGTTTTTTCACATTTGCTTTTTTAGTGTTTTTAGGGGTTTTTTTTACCAAAACAAAACATTTTTTTCTTTTTTTAGTAGAAAAAAAAAAAAAAGTCCAAAAACACTGATTTAATGCATTTTGCAGCATTAGAGCGTTTTTACAGCTAAAAAAACTCCTCTAGAAACCCACTAGTCCTGGGTTTTTTTACAGCCAAAAAACGTCCCAGCCAAAAAAATGTTGATTACAGTCTGTGTGCATAGGCACATAGGATAACATGCTGGGAAGTTTACTGGCTATAGAAAAAAAACCTCAAAAGCAGCAGCTGTAAAAATGTCCAGTGTGCATGAGGACTAATACAGGGGTGTCCAACTTTTTGACCTTCCTGGGCCACATTGGAAAAAGAGAAATTCTTGGGCCACACATAAAAAAAGCTCAACAACTCCTTCTGCAGATGAAACCAATAGTTGATAATGACTGTATGTATTGGGAAACATAGCAAGGAGTTCATGTGAAGTCCATATCCAAAGGATTGCACTGCTAGAGAGCTTGGATGAGCTGTCTCATCCGAGGGCTAATCTTGTATGGAGGCCAGGCACTAACCTGGAGATCTGTGGGGGTATCTGACAGGGAAACACAGAGGGACTCCAATCAATAGCGAATAGCAGCTTTTTTAAACAAACAAATAATCCATTTACACATAAAAACCAGTGTATGCCCAGTGAAGGGGTCTCAGATAAAAGACAGTGATCCTACTCCTGGTCAGGAAAATGGAAAGGAAAGCCACAAACCGAAACCTCTGGAGGATGCACAGCCGAAGGGGAGCTACACTGCAGCTAACGGTATATGCCTGGAGCCAAGGCTGCTGTACTTGGAATGGCATCCCCGGAATCTCTCCAGATGTGCCGGAGCCATGGGTTGGACATCCTTGTTCTAATGGATTGTGATTCAGTACTGCACATTTATCTTATTAAATATGTCAGATAATATGACAATATCTGTGACCTACCAAGTAGCTGTAAGAAATCTACAGCCATTGCTACAGATTATATTCTCTCTAATCAAAATGATCTAGTAAAGCAGTGCAGAGAGCTATGAAGTGCCAACAATTTGAAGATAATGACCTAACTGATCTGACTGCAATAACTGAATATGATTGTTAGAATTATTTTGCTTTACATATCATTCCGCTAAGCACTGGCTTATTAATAAGGCCATTAGACTCTCACTTCTAATCAATCTCTACTTGTACATATTGCAGATATATTTTCACACTTGAGACTTTATGAAGCGTGTATGGTTAGTAGAGATGTGTATCATTTTGGGGCAATTATCTGAATATGTATAAGCAGAATTAGAACTAAGCCATTCACAAATACAAATTGCTTGCTGGTATTCTTGAATTTGTTGCTTGTCCCGGAAGTGAACAAATTGGCAAATGCATATTCAGGAGAATTGGCATTTAACTGGAAAATATGGAGAAGCATAGTTTATCTGACAAACATCAGACTCCCTCACTATCTATACTTTTCTCCTTACAGTGTGTTTAAACCCAAGAACATACACTATGGAGGAGATTTACTAAAACTGGCACACGCACAATTTGGTGTAGTAGTGCATAGTAACCAATCAGCTTCTAGGTTTTATTGTCAAAGCGTAATTGAATAAGCTGAAGTTGGAAACTTGTTGGTCACTCTGCACAGCTTCACCAGATTTTGTGTTTGTGTGCACCGGTTTCATTAAATCCGCCTCATTCTATAATGCAGCATGCCTTCGATGTAGTAGCTGAATTATTATTATTATTTATTATTTATTTATTTTAATTTTTTGTGATCCTGCCAGTAACATCACACTTCCTGTCCTAGGGTGACAATGCTTACTCTCCCACTTCTGGCAGGATCAACTAGTATTTTGTGTGTGTGTGTGTGTGTGTATATGTATATGTGTTATATGTATGTTTTATATGTGTGTGTGTGTTTGTTTTGTGTGTGTGTGTGTATGTATGGTTATATATATTTGTTTGGTTTTTTTTTTTTTTTTGCACTTAAAGCAGAGCTCCATCCAAATGGGGAAGCTCCACTTTAAGGCCTCTTTCCCTGCTTCCCATTGAGAATTGGCACCTTTAGGAAACTGGGGGGGGGGGGGGGGGGGGGAGGGGGTACCCGAATTTGACAGGTACACGCTCCCACTTCCAATGCAAACTGTCACAGCCGGGTGCCCACACTGAAGATGCTGGGGACACAGGATGGCTGGTGAACCCGGCCAGTGCGAACACACCACGGGATCATGGGCCAAGTGAGTGGCTGTTTTTGAGTCAGCAGCTACAGTTTTTGGAGCTGCTGACTTTTTTTTTTTTTTTTTTTTTTTTTTTTTTTTTTTACATTTTAGCTGGACCTCTGCTTTTAAACAGGTATAGCAAAACACTTTCATTCCTACACATCCAAGTCTCGGTCTGTTTCAAATGCCATCAAACCATGACCGGAAACTGTAATCCCATCTCTGGTCTCTGAAAGTATGTTTTTCAAGAAAGATTTCCAGTGATGACTGAAGAAAGGAGCTTTTATATTTCCATTATTATTTGCAGAGCTTTGGTAAACATGGTCCTATGCGTGAATGTCATACCTGAACAAAAGGACTGTTTCATCTTGGAAGAAGTGTTCCAAGTCATTGGAAGGATTAGTTTGTTAGTATGCAGCAGATTTTTTTTCTGCTGTTCAGTGACAGATATATTTTTTGTTCAACTCGAAGGTCTGTCTCTTCTAAAATAGCCAATAAGTAGACCCAGCCAATGCAGCCCTTGCCAAAGAAAACGTCTCCAGAACCACTATAAGCTGAGCCCAGGCGACACCCTGACCCACAACAATGCCCTTCTGTTCCAGGCGCCTTTTTAAATGCAGCTCCTAGAGGAGTATAAACCGTGCTTTTGTGCCTTGTGTCCGAGCCAAGCCCAGCACTGACTGGAGATAAAGCAATGTCAGTACAGTATTGAGATGCACGAGAGAAAGAGGCTTTGTGGTAGCAGCACTACAGGAGAGGCAGTGCTGGTGTGTATAGGGCTGTGCTATGAATGGCTATTCGGAATATGTCAGCATGGTCTATCATTATCCATGGAGACCTAGCGCTACCCTTCCTCCTTCTATATCTGTACCCCTTTCCTGCTGCACATGTTCTGTACCATTGATGGAATGTTCTGACATGATATTACAAAGGCTTATTTTCCTCTGGTGCCAGTCTGTGACAAATGCTTCGTTGAATATATTGAGACACAGCTGAACTGGCAGCTGTCACATGTGTTCTACTACACACTTCTCAGGAAAATGACCGCTGGCATGGATTTAGCTCTGGACACACTAGGTACACGGCAGGTGGCACCCAGATGAAAATGCTTTCTTTGTTTTAGGCAGCATACACAGTCTCTTTAGCATTGGTGAGAATCTATTTCTGAAAGTTCTATTTTTTTTTTTTCTTTGACTGTTTTGCAGATCTACCCGGATCGAGAGCTGGAAACTCAAGTCCTTAGTCTGTCTATACGATGTATACATAGTGAAGAGGGTTGTCGCTGGAGTGGGCAGCTGAAGCAGCTCCAGGTGAGGCAATTGGCAGCTATATTTAGAGTACCAGAGGTAATTATTGCTGGATTTATTCAGTAAAACAAAGAGCAAGGTTCCCATTGTCATGAGTATTGCCTGATTGGATTAGCCTGTATGACTTATTAAAGAAGCACGAGTTTCTGTATTAATGTCATTCTTTGAGGAATGGTTTGCACTCTGAGGAACCAGCTGCCTTACTGCAGAAATGTTCTCTGGCTGCAGTGCAGTACTTTCTCTTTTGTATGTTGTACTAAAGTCCAGTTGTAGCATAAACATTTAGGGTATTCTATTTTCTAGCATGTATTTTCTCCAGAAATGGATTTGATATTTTTAAAGTGATTCTAAAGGCTTAAGGTTTTTTACTCTAATGCATTCTCTGTAAGGTAAACAACCTTCTGTGTCACAGGATCCCCCCCAGGCCCATTTCCTTCCTTCCATACTTACATTAGCCCAATTTCAATCCCGTGCTATGCTGGCAAGCAGCGGATCACTCCGCTCTCTCTCTCCTCACAGGTCAGATTGATGACTGCGAGAGCCATTGACTCCTACTGCAGTCAATCAAATCCGGTAACGAGGAGGTGGGATAGGGCTCAGCCATGCTGTGTATGTCTATAGACGCAGGCAGCACAGCTGTCGGGGGGACCCCAGAAGAGGAGGATTGGGGCTGCTCTTTGACTATTGCTGCAACATTAAAAATAAACTGGACTAGCCCCCTGTATTGACTGATCTTTTCTTCAGTAGTGGCTTACAATGCCTTGTTCTGCATTGTGTTTCTATATGAAGGTGGCCATCTTGGTAGAGGCAAGGTTATCCTTCCTCCTGTCAGAGCCTTTTGCATTGAGAATAGTGAAGATCTCCTGAGACCAGCTGTCATAAGCTGTAGTGCCTTAGATCTTACACTGCTTAGACACAGCTATGTGGTTGTAGGCACAGGAGACCATAGGCCCCCTTGCACACCAGGACATGCAGTGCTGTTTTTCAGTCCAGACACCAAGGTACATTTTTCAGAGTACTGCTTATGCACCATAAGCACCTCTAGATATTCTCAATGGCATGGCAAATCTTCACTTTTTGTGTTCAGGTCCAATTTAAGTTGTAATCTTCACTCCGTTACCATTGCAGGTGGCAAACTGATTAAGGCAAAAAATGTTGTGCTGTTTGTGACTTTAAGCCTCTCAACAACTCCTCAACATTATACATTAAAGTGGATCTACACTGCATCCGAGCACCACAAAGCAAAAATACTACTTAATTCAGTTTTAAGATTAAAAGCAAACTCGCCCATCCATCCATGTCTCCATGCTTTATTTTGGTGAGAAATCCCTCTGGAGGGCGTCCCTAGCTGAGAAAACCCCTCCTCCCCTCTAGAAGACTCCTGGGATGTATGACATCATTTCTCTAGGCAAGAAACCAGGAAGTAACTGAAGAAACGTAAAAAGCTTAGAACCAATAAATATAGTATATGTTCCTATCTATTTACTAATGCCAGCAGCATAAGGATTTAAAAATGGTCAATGCTGATTGAGATGGTGAAGTTCCACTGGTAAGAAACATCATGGCTAAAGAAATATGTTCTCTTTGCAAATTAACATTTGCGATTTTTTTTTTTTTAAATTAATCCCATGTCATTAAATCTTAATTTTTGTCTCTTCAGACTCATCTCAGTGTTTGTGCCTTTTAATGTGATCCCGTGCCCCAATCGCTGTAGCACCAAACTGATCCGCAGAGATCTGCCAGAGCACATGCAGCACGACTGTCCCAAGCGCAAAGTTCGATGCGAATTCTGTGGCAGCGATTTTACAGGAGAGGCCTACGAGGTGAGAACACATGTACAACCCATCTTTTACTGATTTGCTTCTGTGTGCCCCATATAGAAGACCATATGACAGGGTACCTCTTTTTTTATTCATCCAGTCCTTAGAGTTTACACAAGCTGCACATATAGAATGGTGATCTTTTCCTTTGCAGCAGTTAAAGTGATATTAAAGGATTTGTTTTTTTCCATACCTACTTGCTCTGTCTAATGGTTTTGCACAGAGCAGCCCCGATCCTCTTCTCCTCGTCTCCTTGACCAGTGCTCCCAATAGCAAGCCGCTTGCTATGGGGGCACTGGTGCTCTATATAGAGCCATGGCTTGGCCCCACAAGGCACAGCCCCCAAACCCTGCTCTAATAAATATATATATATATATATATATATATATCTATATATATCTCTTCCAAACTAGTCAGCCCAATAAGTCACAGTATTATGACATCTAAGTCCTCCAGAGGTCGATGCGTTTTGCTTATTAACTTCCTCCAGGACCCTGAAATATTGGAAGCAAAGAAGTCCAATGCCAAAACTGGAAGATAGACATAGATACACATTAGTCATACAATTATGATTATTACAGAAATCTTACAAAAATAAACCTTCTCCACAGACTCTCATGTCAGCATGAGCGGTGATATAGGGCAGCAGCATCCACACAACGGTCAAAGGATGGTCATGGAAGAACATCCATAGACATAGCTTTGTGTATGGATGTTCATCCATGACCATCCTTTGACCGCTGTGTGGATGCTGCTGCCCTATATCACCACTCATGTTGACTTGAGTTTGTGGAGAAGGTTTCTTTTTGTAAGATTTCTGTAATAATCATAATTGTATGACTGGTGTTGTGTATGTATATGTGTATGTGTGTATATATGTGTGTGTGTGTGTGTGTGTGTGTATGTGTGTGTGTGTGTGTGTGTGTGTTTATGTGTGTTGTGTGTGTGTATATATATATATATATATATATATTATATATATATATATATATATATATTATTATATTCTTCCAGTTAGGGCATTGGACTTCTTTGCTTCCAATCATTCAGGGTCCTGAGGAAGCTAATAAGCAAAACGCGTCGACATCTGGAGGATTTAGATGTCATAATACACAATGCTGTGATTTATTGGGCTGACTAGCCAAACACTGTTTTTATGGTAACTGTTTGGAAGATATGTTTCAATAAACATGTTTTATACAGTAACATGTGGTTGTCCGTTTTTTTTTGTTCCAATAAATTCCCATTAGTTTTTTGCATTTTTGCATATGACATATTCGAGATGAGGTATGTTTGCAGTCTGGTGTGTGTGTGTGTGTGTGTGTGTGTGTGTGTGTGTGTGTGTGTGTTTGGACCCATCCTCCCATTTGACATGTTATTGTTTTGTTGTCTATTAAAAACAGATGTCAATAAACTACTTGGTGAGAATTGGATTATATCCATGTGTTTCACTAAACATTTACACTTGAATGAATTTATTTAATCTTTAATTTCCTATGTTTGAGACCATATAAGGCCGTTTACTTTACCCCAGAAAATTCTTGTAATACAGGCCACTATTTCTGAGCTCCTTCCCTGGCCTAATATTTCACATTTCCAGCTAATGACTTACACATTTACAATTTGGAGCGATAATCTTTGATGTATTAGCACTGTCAAACATTTAAATGCCTCTCATCCTTCTCACGCTGAGTACGTCGTGCCCGTTTTGTCTCAGCAGAGAATACTCCAATGGTTCTGTGCTTTAACCCGTTCCAACCCTCTTGTCCTGTAGGAACACCAAGGCTGCTGTCCTCAAGAGAGCGTTTATTGTGAGAACAAGTGTGGCGCTCGTATGATGAGACGTGTTTTGTCCCAGCATTCCCTGTCGGAGTGCCCGAAGCGTACTCAGCCATGCTCGTACTGCAGCAAGGAATTTGTTTATGACACTATACAGGTAATAATTTGCATGGTGGGCTATAATATAGAGGTGATTCTTCTTGAAGAGTGAGGATGTCAGAAGGCTGAAAACTACAATGAAGCCATATTTTAGGCAAACCAATACCTACCCTACCAGTTCTTTTTTAACTAGCAACATGTCTTGGGTATTGGGTGCAAAGCCTCCTGTGGTGGTGATATTGCTGGTCTCTAATGATTTCATAGGGCTTTTATAGGAATATTGAATCATCCACTGCTTCTGTTCTGGGAATTTCACATAACCAGGAAAATAATCTGTACATGCATGATTGGAATGTTGAACTGTTCAATGATTTAGGATGGATAAATTGGCTCTTCCTCCCTGTATATACATATGGTATGCCTGAAATGTCTGTTTTAAGTTTTTTGTAATATATTTGAACTTTGTTGTGACGTCTTTGTAATGTGAGTCATAATGACTGTTTGTGGGTTTCTGATACTAACACCCTGACATGGCCTCAAGTTATCTTTCTTCTAAGTCCCTTTTTAACCTTCAACAATTTTTTTTTCTTTTATTATAATAGGTATCACTAGTTTTGTTAAAGTGAATTTTTGTTTGATGTGGCCCTATTTGTAAATGACTTCTTAAAAGCTTCTAATCTCCTTATTTATAAAAGGTACTTATATAGTGCAGTCAATTTACGCAGCACATATATATTGTACATTCACATCAGTCCCTAACCATCAAGGAGTTTACAATCTAAGGTTCTTAACTCACATTCATACATACACATACCATGGCCAATTTAGATAGCAGCCAATTAACCTATCATCATGTCTTTGGAGTGTGTGAGGAAACTGGAATACCCAGAGGAAACCTGCGCAGGCACAGGGAGAACATGCAAATAGTGCCATGGTTGGGATTCGAACCAGCAACCCTAGAGCTGCTAGACAGAAGTGCTAACCAGATAGACACTGTTCTTTTCACTCTATATAGAAATATGTTTTCAGGCATACATTTTTCCCATTCTGTAAATCATGTGAGGTTACACCGCCACATCTATTTTCTAAAACTAATTATGACAGGAAAACACTGAAGGTGACAGCTTGTCATGATGGGCAACTGTAAATGGCAGCTTTATGGAGGTTAACTAGTCATTTACATAGATGAAGTAATGCAAACACAGGTGTTCTGCTTTGTGCTGTGGATGCAAGTGGTTACCTTCAGAGATGGCCAGGCCCCAGGTACCTATAGATGGGCCTATTGCTTCACAGCTTTACAGTTGACTTAAAAGGTCCCCTCTTTCTCCTTAAGCCTCAGTGCAAGCACACTAGTAGCTGTTATTTCTCTTCCTTCTTTCATCCCCCCCACCATGATCAGAATTGATGTAGATGCAGTCCTGTCTTCTATATTCTTCTTCATACTCCTTCAAAATGGTGGACCACATTGAAATGCACTGTGTTTACTGATATTGAGAGCTTAGAGTTTTCTTGAACAATGATGACTGCAGTGGAAGACAATGCATAATAGGACTAATTGTATGACTGATTTTTTTTTTTTGCAGAGTCACCAGTACCAGTGTCCTCGGTACCCTGTTTCCTGTCCTAACCAGTGTGGCATTGCCAACGTTGCCAGAGAAGACCTCAGTGGGCACCTGAAGGACAGTTGTAGTTCTGCATTAGTGCTCTGCCCTTTCAAAGATTCTGGATGTAAACACAGGGTAAGAAACAAGCATTAATGTTTTGTAATGCCTAATAACCAGTCATTTTTCTGAACGGATTTCATGGTTGCTATGGTTGTCATTCTTTGTGCTGTTATTAAATCATTATCTGCCAATGGCTTGAAGTCGCAACTATTATAGGTTTACTTAGATGCCTGCTGTTTGAATCACCCACTGGTTATAGCTTAGTGGGAATCCAGCTCTAGGAATCTTTGAACCTTCGTTTTTAATGTCTACCCATTTTTAATACAGAAATGATCACATCTTCATTTTACAATAAGGAGCATGTAGATGTGGAGTGAGCTGACTTGTGTGCTATAAAAAGAAGAGCAAGAGTATATGCAGGGGTCGGGCAAAGCCTTGGTCTCTGCAGGAGCACCTTTATTGCTGGAGCTGCTGATACTGTAACATCTAAAACAATGTTCGGTTTTGTACTGACCCCTTAAATAAGTAAAGGAACTGTTTAGTTACTTTAACATAAATACTTGAAAATAATTTTCAGCTCTTTTACTACTCAGGCAGGCCATAGATGATGCATTTTATTTGTTCAACCAAGGGGATGAACAGAAAAAAAAAAGGTTTGACTCCCCCATCAACACAGTTTTCCTTCCTGTGGGGCTATTGCATTCTGACAGCAGGGAGCGTTCCCCGCTGTCAGAATACAATGATTATTATTGGCAGCTATACCCATTGGCACTGATCAAATGGGGGGGGGGGGGGGGGGGGGGGGAAATATGACTGTTCAAGAGCTTGATTTCTGTACAACCAGTCTGCCCACAGATGGACTAAACTTCGGCTACTCCCTGCTGAACCGGCCACATTTTGATCCATCTATGACTAGGTTTAGTATAATGCTTATATATTTGCTGAGCAGTACTGCTTTTATGTATAAAATACATTGTCTTGTTTAAAAAAAAAAAAGTTTTGAGAAGTTAATTTTGTTGTATCTCAACTTGTATTTTAGTGCCCCAAGGTTGGCATGAGCAGGCACCTGGAAGAGAACATGAGGGCTCACCTCAGCATGATGTCTTCTCTGGTAAGTCGTCAGAGAACAGAGATCCAAGAACTGAGGAAGCAGGTGGAAGAGTTGTCTGTGAGCAGTGAAGGGATTCTTATCTGGAAGATCAGTGACTACTCTCGCAAACTGCAGGAAGCCAAAGTCAGAGGCAATTATGAGTCCTTTAGTCCACCCTTCTACACACACAGATATGGCTACAAGCTCCAGGTTTCTGCCTTTTTGAATGGGAATGGCAGTGGTGAAGGAAGCTACCTTTCAGTGTATATTAGGGTGCTTCCCGGAGAGTATGACAACCTACTGGAATGGCCTTTTTCCTATCGTGTTACATTTTCCCTTCTTGACCAGAGTGATCCATCGCTGTCCAAACCCCAGCACATTACCGAAACTTTCAACCCTGACCCTAACTGGAAGAACTTCCAGAAGCCAAGTGGCTCTAGAAATTCCTTGGATGAAAGTACACTTGGTTTTGGATACCCCAAATTTATCTCTCATGAGGACATACGGAAACGTAACTATGTACGTGACAATGCTGTATTCCTTCGAGCGTCTGTAGATATCCCTCAGAAAATAATTGCATAATTACAAAGCTGGGACATGTAAAGAGGAAACATAGACTCTTGTTAGAAATTAGTAGTGTTTTGGTTCATTATTTACTGTTCGTGATCACTACTCAAGATGCTCTGCTCCACAAAGGAGGATGGTTACAGAAGAGCTGCAAATATCTTCTCCTCTAGCCAGTGAACAGTTAATTTTGAGTTAATATGACCAAGTCAACTGTGATGCCTTGTGAAAACTGGTGGTTCACTGCACCAATAATGCTTTTTTGGGGGGGATGGTGTCCCTAAATAAAGAGCAAAATGTGTATATGACCAAAATGCTCACCTTTGTTCTTCTCTTTTGGGAACAGTGTGATAATTGCTGCAATAGTCTGAAACTGCCACGTGGCATTTAACAATAACACATTGGGTGCCTATACTGAATAACATTCCTTTGCGCCACACAACAGTGGATTTTTACATATGGTTGGTGCAATATATCTAAACATCTGGCACCAAGGGATAACTGGTTTAACTGTGACATGTGGAAGGCTCTGCTAGGCATTTATGTTGTTGTTGAGGTCAACAGCAGTTTTTACCTGAGAGCTCATCACTCAGAACTAAAGACCAGGTGTTAAGATGAAGCCAAAGTGTCCAATCAGAGTGAGAACTGTGAGGTGTGCCCCTTGCAATAGAGCAGAGATGGGTCTACCTCAGGAATATTTGTGGTGCTGGAGTCCTGTGCAAGGATGATTATTTAACTGGTAACTTGAATGAGTCTTTTGGCTACAAAAGGGTCAATGTTAAGAGAGAAACAAGTAAAAGCCAATAAGTTCTCAACAAAATGCAAAATGCCACGTGACAAAGTGGGACCATGTCTTGTGGTCCTTTTTTCCTCTAGATGGCTGCCAGGGTTGTTTGTATTTTACGTGGCCTCTAGTGGCAGCAAGATTTTCTACTCTAAATTTTATAGCCTTTTTACTCCTTTTGTAATTGACCGTTTGATAATTAAATATGCGAGACAGCTTTGGGATTTGATTCTGATGATTTCTTATCCGGGGGTTCTGTTACTGATCAGTCGTATGACAGGAATTCTTTGTCTGATGTGATGTGTTGAATAGGTGTGCTGTGGCACTATATGATCTATACATTTCACTAAAAAATCTTCTGGCATATCAATCCATAAAAATATGTGCGCAGCTCTGTTATTGGCCTGTTCTCGATATGGCATTGTATTGCACACGTAAAACAAAAATTACATAATGGATAACCTATTGTGGGATACTGTCATGGTTTGGCAGCCTTCTGAAACTAATTTATGTTCAACTGGAAGGTGTTGCTACTGCTCTTTTAAACAAGACAAATTGAATATTTATTAAGTAAAAGGAAATCTTTGCCGAAAAATTGAATTCTGCTATTGCTGATCTTTTGAAAATTGCTAGTTTCTAGTATAACTATCTTGGTTTAATGTTTTCTATCACTGATCTAGAACAAGTGTGCAGATAAAGAATTTTGATTTTCCTGGGTACATGTTTCTTGTTAGTGAATAAACATTAATGCTACACAGTCTTTATATTGGCCAGGTAGGTAGCCTTCTCAGAAGAAGGTCTGCAGTGGCAGGCTCCCATTTTCTTTTAGTTTACTGTTATGAAGTTGACCAATAAACTGACCATGCTCTCCCACTGCATTTAAATCAAAGTCTAGTCCGCTTCCATTCATCTGAGTTTCATAAAAGACCAGTCAGCTAGTTTAGGACAGCTTCTTGCAGGGGACTGCAGCCTTTTGTCACATGATAATGGTACAACACTGCTACCTCCCTAACATGCTTCAGTGTATGTGGACAAAGGACAAAGGGAGAGAACAGTTTCTGAACCAGAGAACACACACAGGCTTACCTTCTCATCATCCCCATTTTAAGGCTATTCAGAGTATCACATCTACTACATTGAGCATAGTGGCCAATGCAAAAATAAGTTGGGGGCTGCAAGTTGGTCTAATTGTCAAATTATATTTGATTTGGAATATGCCCTTATCTGTTTTTCAGTGCAAAAGGGATACAAGAGTTGACAATGGGCTTGTAGGTTGCTTTCCTAATGATGGCAAAGTACCTACAGGTCTCTGTAGTAACACTAATGGACTGTGTAACCTGCATGCATTATTATGGGCTGCAGCCCCACTGATCCCATAACTAGCACCACGCTCTTTCCACTGGTTGCAGATGTATGGGTGAGATCTGGCTCTTCTGGTCCTCAGCAGAAACAACCTGTTTCTAGTTATAAGATCAGTGTGGTGCTGAAGACTAGCAATCACAGATCAGTAGGTACTTAGTTATTATTAGGCAGTTTTAGAGCTGTTTCATTTTTTTTTTTAATGTTATCTTACAGAATAACCTGCACTATCCCAGAATAATTGATAAAATTTGTCTAAATTCTGATAGCCATTCGTACAAACTATTTTACTGATGGAGTGCCAATAATAAATATCTGCTGTGCACAGTTTGTTGTGGCGGGTTTTACAACAGTGCGACTAACGAGCCATATCCAGCGCTGTACAGTACAGTGAAGGTGCTACGGTGAAATGACATGATTACTTATGTAGAAAATCTGGAACCTATTGACAATTCTAGATCTAGAAACCGTGTGATGGATCTGGCAACTGTGATATTGATGTTCTATAGTGTGTCTGAATTATTTTGTTGTATTTTTTTTTATTTATTGTCTAAAAAATCTCTGTTGAATGAAGAATTAATGTATTGTATGGAGGGGGTGGCTGATTGCCTTTATACTTTTGTATAATAAATCCTCTCCATATTAAAGTTCATCTGTCTGTGTATTTTATAGTTGCTAGAAACTCAGAACCTCACCAGTAAACTTTGACGTGTAAGGTAGATACAGGAGAGTGGCCCTTCATCCTCTATCTTTTGCATATGCACTGCTAAATCTCCCTTTTTATCTCCTGCAAATATTCTATGAGCTGCTGCCTTATGATGTAATTTCTTTTTTGACAGTATGTAGTGCGCTTCCTCTCAGTATGTGACTAATTACCAGGTTTCTTATTCAGATGCTGGAGGTTACTACTTGCTCTACATGAGTACAAATCAAATTACAAATTCACAAATTGTTCATCAAGTTAAATTAAAAACCTTTCACAAACACCTCCGTCTGGACTAAAAATGCACAATTAAAGTGGTAGTAAAGGCTAAAAGTTTGTTCAGCTTAATGCATTCTCAGCATTAGGGTAATAAACCTTACAGCAGCAGTGCCCCCCAGCCTTACCCAAGTCCTGTATTGATTCAGCATTGTGCCCAGCTTCAGTTCTTCTCTCTGCTTTCTCACAACTTGGCGGAGACCAGTGAGAGCTATTAGCTCCTGCTGCTGTCAGTGAAATATGAGAAGAGGGAGTGGGGGATGGGGCTGTACTATGTGCATCAATAGATGCACACTGCCTGGCTCAGGATGGAGCCTGCAGGTGTGCCACCAAAAAGAGGAGGAGCCAAGAGCACCAACTGGTGACACCAGAAGAGGAGGGTCGGGGATGTTCTGTGCAAAACTATTGCGCAGAGCAGGTAAGTAAAACATGTATGTTATTTTTAAAAATATGAGCATTTACAATTTAACGATGGCCACATTTTATGATCTATAACATAATCATTTAAATACTGTGAAAGAATTTGAGGACTGACGTACAGCCCAAATAGTTTTTCAAATAAATGGTTCATGGTATCTATTAATGTTCATGATGGGGTTCAATAGTCCTATAACTATGGTAGAGATGAAGACAACTACTCCACTGTGTAGAAAAGAAGCCGGTATAATGCAAACTATTTCTGCCATACTTTTTATCGTCCCCCATGTAGCCCAAACAGCTGTAATTGAAGTGTCCCAGAACTAACAGGAGAACACTCCAATGCATTTCCGCCATGTCCTGACAAAGTCTACCAGTGGCTTGGACGAAATGTGTTTGCTTGTTCACCTGTTAGAAGAAAATCTAGGAACTGGTAAGCGCCAGTATATTACATTTATGTTTTTGGGAGTGGATACATTTAAATGCTGGCACAAGATATTGTTGTGAAGGAGCATCGTCTAAGAGTAAAACCTGGCATCACAAGGAGGTGGAGATTCAATATGAAGGTCTGTCACTAATTAGGATGTGCTCAGGATAGGGAACACAGTTTGAATACCATACCTGTGTCAATAGGCTTTGGGCTTGTATCGATGGCATCAATATGAGTGGCTTCTTACATTGATACCAATATGAGATTATTCAGAATTCATTGACAGATGCCTTTGACCTCCTTCTGACCTGCGTGGAAATGTAAAACTGATGTGACCAAAAGCTGGCACAGGCCAATAATATCAAGCCAGCAGTTCCCAGCTCCCATATTTCTGTACACACATTAAGTGGGGAAAATAATTATTTCATCCCATGCAAATTTTGTAAATTTGCCCACTTACAAAGAAATTAAGGGGTTTATTTACTAAAGCTGGAGAGTCCAAAATCAGACTCCCTTCTGCATAGAAACCAATCAGCTTCCAGGTTTCATTGCCAAAGCTTCATTGAACAAGCTGAGGTTAGAAGCTGATTGGTTTCTATGCAGAAGGGGGTCTGATTTTGGACTCTCCAGCTTTAGTAAATAAACCCCTAAGGGTCTATAATATTTACCGTAGGTGTATTTTAAATGATAGAGACAGAATATCAACCAAAAATCCTGAAAAAAAACACGATACAAATGTTATAAATTTAGTTGTAGTTCTGTTCAGTTGGTGAAACAAGTATTTGATCCCCAAGCAAAACATGACTTGGTATGTGGTGGAGAAACTCTTGTTGGCAACACAGAGGTAAGATGTTTCTTGTAGTGGTTTTCCAGGTTTGCACACATCTCGGGAGGGATTTTGGTCTACTCTTCTTAACAGATCTTCTCAAAATCCTTCAGGTTTCTTGGCTGTCGCTTAGCAACTCAAAGTTTCAGCTCCCTCCATAAAATTTCTAAAGGATTAATGTCTGGAGACTGGCCACTCATGACCTTTAATGTGCTTCTACTTG